GTGTGCCTTGGCAGTAGCTTTCTAATGATATCAGGATTGTTTTTGTGCTCCAAATATTAAGCAAAATATTTCACATTATATAATGACTGTCACCGAGTCACCATTTTGAGAAAAAGGCCTTCAAAGTTGTGTCTTCTCTGGAATCCATCGATCTGATTGATTATTAACGGAGCAAATTATCAAAGGAGAACGGAGGGAAAATATTTTCGTTTGGATTATTAGTCTGGGGGAAGCTCGCGAGTGTGGGTCTGTCTGTGTGTGTGTGTGTGTGTGTGTGTGTGTGTGTGTGTGTGTGTGTGTGTGTGTGTGTTTGTTTCCCGGGGGGTGTGTGTGTGTGTTGTGTATTTTTTGCATTTGTGTGTATTGTGAAATCAAAAAAGTTATTGGAATGTGACTTCCTCCGAATGTCTCGCTTTGTCTGACCAACAGTCCGAAACCCAAAGGAATCCCTGTAATCTCACCGATGACAAAAACCCTTAGCAAGTATTAACATTTGAAAAGCTGGAACAAATGAATGTCAAACATTGAAATGACATTTTAAATAAAGAATAATATTTGTTGATACCTCAAACGTACGAACTGTACAACCACTAAGCGAACAAGCAAAGAAAGACAAAAGCAGACTAGTTCGATGTTTCGGGAGGAGAGACCTAGTGTGCTGATAGGATATGGGGAGATGAGCACTGCACTCGTTATCAACAAAAAAAGAAATAAGATAATTCAATTGAAATGAGAAACATTCCCTGTCCCTTTTGGCCCTGCCTCTCAGCCTTTAACAAGCCTTGAGTGCAACCTGTTTTTCCCATTTCCCACCAGGAGTCAGTGGCTTTGTGTTTGTTACAAAGCAAGAAACACTTTAGCTGCAGCTCTGCAATTATCATCACAGGAGACTCATAGTAGGACATAGTGCCGCTATCATTGCTATTCAGCTCAGTGTTTCCCCTATATACAAATAGTGGCGGCGCAGCGCCGCTGCTGAAATATGAGCGCCGCTGCTAGTGTTTTTTTTAGTGGCGACCCTTTTTCATTTTTTTTATTGTTTGTTATGTAGATTTGTAGTATTTGTGTTACTGGCATAGGCGACACAGACGGTCGCCTAGGGCGCTAGATCTGGGGGGCGCTGCGCTGGTAGCTCTGGGAGGGAAAAAACATTTTTGACCGTTGGCGCTCATCCAAATGTTCGGCCTTGATGTAACAACATTCATAATTAAGTAAATGTAACACCCTTTTCACCCCGGTTACACTTTTAATTTGCCCTGTACGGTGGGCGCTAGGTTAACTAGGTAAAATAAGATATGAATGAACAACAAAAATAAAATAAGCTATATTTATTTATTATTGGCTATGGTAGGTTATTGGTTATGTTCACATACTTATTTGATTATTAAAATGTAAACCAATCTTTTTCATATGGGCGTTTTAGAGTTGTACCCCCTAGATCAGGTCTCTAGTAATTCTGTGCTCAAAGTGCACCAGATTGAAGCATTTTACTGTAAAATGTTCAAAAAAAAATCTTCCCGTTAACCCCCCAATTCAAGCATGTTCATACAATACTGAATACATTTGAAGCCATTCTGACATCTATTACCTATGTCAATAAGTTTCTGTTTTTGCAGTGTATTTGTCTTTTGTAGAGATTTTTCATTTATTCTTTACACATAAAATGTCGCCTAAAATCTCACCTAGGGCAGCAAATTGTCTAGAACCGGCCCTGGTACTAGGCCTGAAGAGCCTTTCTTGTGCTGACACATATTAACAAATTGGCGGGGCGCACTTCGCACGCACTGAAAAATTCCACGCGCTCCGCGCTCACATTATGCTGGGCCCACGTGCCTTAGCACCGCTGCTATGACTCTGAGCTACCATTCAAACAAGCTGCCACTGCTACAAACCCACTTCAGAGTGCAACACAATGGTGCTTCAGGTTTTAAAAAAGACTCATTACCAAATGCCACAGAAGGTGAAGCCAGTGAGAGCATGTTTAATTAGATATTACAGGTATAAAGGCAGTGCATCAACTACCCTTTGGAGTATATTAGGCTAATATTATTGTGCTTGTGCTGAACCGATCACTGTCCTGTTAGACCAGAGTTGGAACATTTTGAAAGCCAACCCAGTAGGGCGATTAACTTCTTAACATTCAATCTTCATTTAGAAATTAATTTGATTTGCAGTTTTAAATCCAAACAAAAATTGAAAATGGCTTCAATTTGTGTTTGAGGTTTAGAAGAAAACATAGGCCAAGGAGGGAAGAGAAAGAGAAACAAGGGAGGTAACTGAATGCTGAGAATCAGAAGAATGGAAGTTGGAGGCATGAAGAGGAATTAAATGGGGAAAGGTACAAAAGGAGTGAGAAGTCACACTGACCCAGCTCAAAAGGTCCAAATGTGGGAAATCGGATACAAATTGGATTTGAATGGTGCTCAAAAGTCATGTGGAGGTGCATTCACACCAGCCTTTTATAGTCCGGTTGAATCTAACCCTGGTGCGTTTAGCCGCTTGGTGCGGTTCATTTGGGTCGGTGTGAACGCAGTCCGAGACCTCTTAAGTGAACTAAACAACCGGACTCTGGTCCGCTAAAATAGGTGGTCTCGGAACGCTTGCTTGCGAACTCTGGAGCGGTTCATTGCTGGTGTGAACGCAGTCCACACCAAAACATAGGAAGCGTAGTATTTACGTGTCACAAGAACGCGGGTGTCTTCATTTCTTAAGTGAAAGAGTGAGGCAGAATGATGTGTTGAACACAGGTTGAACAGTGTCGTGTAAAGTAAAAACAACTATCAAACTCAAAACTATACATAAAAGTCAGAGCCACCTACCGTCGGTGAAACCCCCTCCTTACTGCAGAACGTCTCATTATATGTGGTATAATGTTTTGTATCGGGGTCTGGTGTGTACCAGAGAAGTGGACTATTAGGTGTGAATGCAGCCTAAAGTATAACTGGATTATGTTGTGCAACCCTGTTTTGCATAATGACAACAAATGATAATTGAATACTTAAATTAATTGACTTATGGAGGTTGTCCCAATATTAGAACAGTACATTGAAAACATTTGAAAAGTAAGTAACAACTTCTACTACCAAGAGATATTGGAAGTGGAAGTAATTAAAACTCAGATATTATTTAATTTAAACAAAAGAGAACCAGATGGGGACATTTTATTAAAAAAAAGAAAAAGAAAAATAACTTTTTTACAGCACACTTTCCCAGAATTCCCTTTTGCATCTTGTTAAATAGACCTTGAGAATTAAATTAGAAAATCTTATTTAAATATACTTAATCTAAAAGTTCCCATCCAACACACTGTCTGTAAACTGACCTTGCTGGTTGAGCTGCAGTGTGCTCTTGCTCCACTGCGACAACCCCACAATGGCCACCATCTTGGCGCCGAGGCTGGAGCGCCGCTTCTTGTTTCCAGCAATTGACGTGGAGTCCGCCCCCCCGCCGCCGGGAGTCTTCTCCACGTTGTACATCGTCCCCGAGATGCTGGAGGAGCGCACCACGTTACGAGCCGCCGCACTCAGACCACTGAGGCCGCTGAGACCGTTCATCCCACCCGGGCTGGGCACCTCCACAGAGCTGCTGAGCATCATGGTCCTGCTGGAGGGCCGAGAGGCTGGGGGGAAAGGATGTAGAGTTGGAGCGGGGCTGAAGAAGGAACGAGGACGAAAAAAGACATTTAGGTGAGGGTTGAAGGAGAGAAGAGAGGAGAGCAGCTCATCTTGATAAACATGCTAAGAAATAAACAATGGGAATCCATGAGAGCGATCTGGCCAATGCTGTGACTATGTACACTTTTTAGGATAATGTTGCTACTGCCCAATTTATTTATTTTTTTATTTTATTTCATGTATTTTATTTTTATTATATATTTCAATTGTATTTCTTCTGAAATGATGTCCTGTCTTGCCTTTGCCTCTGTTTTTCACATTATCATTTTTTTGTACGTTTGTATAAGGTATGGCGTGTCTTGTTGTTTCGAATAATGAAAGATTAATAAACATATTATTTAAAAGGAAAAAGGACATCTTGATGAGCACTGTGTGATGAAATACAGAATAATCACTCGTCTTACAGCTGCAGTGACTCCCCGAGGCTGGGGAAGGACACATACCGTAGTTTAAATTTCAACCACAGTTCGGTATCCACTTATTGCACAGACAGCATAAATGACATCCTATACCATAACATCAAAAGTGAAAAGCTCTAAATAGTCTTAGTTTGTAAACATAGAAAACAAAGAACCCAAAAGGTCAGCCAGTGAAGACAGTGCAGATGGCAGCGGACTGTTCCAGTGAGTTAAGAAACACACACTGACACAAATGTCAGGGCTGACCCGCTGTTGAGAGGTGACCTTGTCAGCTGGTATTTTTCTTGTGTGGGTTTTTTCTATATCTTGTTCTGTGTCTGACCTTATAAAGTGACGCACGACAAACTTAACAGCTATGACAACAGAGTCATCACTGGTTGGCTGAATCCATGGAGAAAATCAACGTGTGTGTGTGTGTGTGTGTGTGTGTGTGTGTGTGTGTGTGTGTGTGTGTGTGTGTGTGTGTGTGTGTGTGTGTGTGTGTGTGTGTGTGACTCACATCTTCCTTATTCTAACTGACGCACGCATAGTCTCACAACAGGCGTTATTCTCACAGCAGGTATTTTTACATGTCACGGTAGGAAAAGCTAACGGGTTACGTATAACTCGGTGATGCTTCATTGAACTCAGCAGTAATGGACTGACAGTGCGATAGTTTGAACGCAACCAGGACCCTGAAACTCAAGAACCAAAAATAATTGTATTATTTGCACCGGTGCTTCACCTAATGTGACATGTCAAGATGTCTTTTGTGAAAAAAAGGACTTTGACACCTCTATCACGCGATATCTTTCTCCTTCACTCTTTTCCTTCTCTCCCCTCTCCTTTTCTCTCCCCTTTACAAAGTGATTATAATGAGGCAGTTAAATATGTAGATTATCCTGGCTCTTTTTTTAACATTTCTCCATTTTGTGCGTTGAGTGTCTTGCACAGTTCAGCTGATTCCAAGATTCACCTCACGCTATATGCATGTTCATTTAACAACAATAGGAGCCACGCTAACAACTCTGTGAGGCCACAGCAGTGCCTAGAGCTGCTACATGCTAATATCAGCATGCTAACATGTTAACGACAATGCTTACGTTTAGCAGGTATATTGTTAAACAGGTTGTGCTTTCTAGTAAAGTGTGCAAGCATGCTAACATTTGCTAATCAACATTAGATGATACCGCTGAGGCCGATGGGATGTATTCAGTTTTGCATGACATAGTTGGTCATAAACTGAAGTATTGAAATAACTAAAATGTGTACTTGATGATGGTTCCACAAGAAAGAGATGTGATCAACAAAGTTATCACAATTCATCCCTACTTGGAAAATCTTAGGTTCCAAACTTCATGGTGATCCATCTGGTAGTTGCTAAGAATTCCCATTTTCAAACTATATATGTTAACCTTATGTTGGTCAAATAGGAATTAAGATTACTAAAATATGTAGCATTCATCATTTGGGGACTATGAATGTCTGTAAATGTCATGGCAGTCCAACAATGCCATCTTCCGAGACTATACTTCTAGATCTAACGTGACTTCAAAACATAATCTTTACATAATCCGCAACGAATCGCAGGAAATGGAGCACAAATTCTTTATGCTACTAAAACACTCACTCCCATGACTGGAAGTCATTAATAATACAAATACAGTACAGGGAAGTTGCCCTTAGTGCGTCGTTCCAAATGAGGCTGTAAGTGCCCCGTGCTTCAGATGTCTCTTTAAATCATCATCTGTCCCTGCTTGTCACACCAACACAGACATAATGCTTACAGCCCAAAACAGGTTGCTGACTGGCACTTTTCATCAGGATTCATTTAGCAAAACCACAATAACAGCAGTGGGTGCTCTTGAGGAACGGTGGACTTATGAAGCAAAGGGCACATTTTGGCATTTTGGAAAGAAACATATACTAAAAGCCAAGTGGAAGGATGCAAGCTTAGTACAAAGCTACTGCAGTGGCATTTGCTTGGTGTGCAAGAGGGTACTGAGGGGAGAGAAAGAGGGAGAGAGAGGAGGCAGGGGTTTAAAATCGGAAATTCAGATGAGCCTGTATGCCCGTTTTTTATTCTCCTATCTTTCCTATTGCGGCCCATGCGCACTTCTCTCCCGCTCTCTGGGGGGCGTCTTTACTTTGAACACACATCGTGCAAAGCTGGATAAAATGAGGGTAGGGGAGGGAAAGAGAAGGCTGCAAGAGAAAGGAAGACTAACAGAATAATTCTGCTTTTAGAGAGCCATGAGGACAGGGTTGAACAAGAGAGGGAGGCGAAGGACAGGGAGAGAGAGAGAGGGGAGGATGCTTCATAATGAATGGACACACAGAAAAATCCTGCAGGAAGCCGGGGCCAGATCTGTGAGGAAGGATGGAGTGAAAATGAGAGAAGAAGAAGAGTATGACATTGATTGTGACAATAATGGAGACATGCATTCACCCTCCTCCCCTCTTAATGATGAGGTCCTCAGAGTGTGTGTGTGCGTGTGTGTCTTTGGCTAAAGACGTGCAAAAGTGAAACAGGGTGAACTCAAGCGTACCGCGTATACGCTTTGCCCACAGGACAACAACACACTTATTAGCCTACGCACGCTATACGATGAAGCTAGGAGACTGTGGACACAAAAAGATGCTACATAAGAAAATGTAATATTTTTTTTTTAACCTGTGAAACCCCAAGGTCCCCGCCGGCGGGTACTTTTTTTTCTTGGGGATCTTAATATTTAAGAACCTATTAATGTGTTATACCAGATTAACTGGAATAATCTCAGCTAACTGACGATACAAACCATTTTTACCAAAACAAAACACAAGTCTCATAAGAAGCATCTAAATGACCCCTGAGCGAAAAATGCTAACCTATTACTGCACCGATAATCACTCCTAGCTCCCTTATTACTTATCCTAGGTGCACATCTAACACATCGTTTATGATCGCAAGGAGACACAGAATCTAACGGTGCCCACCTCAACACTGAAAGATACAAACTCGCGACGTTATCAACAAAAACGTACATCAAAACAAGTGGCGCTAGGTAGCCCACAACGCTAACATGGCTTACCTTCGTCTTTGTCTGGTCTAAACTGGTCTTCAATGGCATTAAAACGATAACAACATGCTGTAGTTAATCCATAGGTTAATCCAATGTGTCTGTGTCCCCTTTGAAATGTTCTGATAATCCATAAGCAATAAAACTGCTTTTCCGTTGCTTGATATTGCTTGCAGGATATTTCTCCCCTCTGCTGCAAGCTAGCATGTGCAGAGACGCCACCTTTTTTTTTAACATGAGTGTGTGCGGGTCAGCCGTGCCGTGTGTAAATGTGACCTGAGCGAAGGCTCGCAGGCAGGTTAGCTGCTGCGCACGGGTAATATGTTTTGTTTACCTGAGTGGGGTCTTGCAGGCACATCGCCTTGTCTTTTTTTAGTTTATTAACACTGACAGTGTATTAATGTGAGCTCCTACACCTATAATAATTTGGCCTGTCATTGAATGCTTTATAAACCAGTTAAACTTACAGATGTCATTTTGAATTGGAAAACTGCATTTCAATTTCTGATGCAATTTCTCTAGAACCGCTTGCACAGAAAATAAGACTATCCAAAGAAGTAAAACATATAGTTGTAAAAGACACAGTCCACAACATTTCGTTATATGCGGATGATCTACTACTGTACTTGGACGAGGTACCAACTACGCTTCCTAAGCTGTTAAATATTTTTACCCGATTTAGTTCAATATCTGGTTACAAGATCAATTTGAATAAATCATGTCTTTTACCCCTCAATAGTGCCATGGTTGAACTAAACTTAAATACAGAATTGCAGATCGCCCAACACTTTAAGTATTTGGGAATTGATATATATGTCTCATTAGACACAAAAGTAGCAAAAAACTACAGAAGAATGTATACAACAATTAAAGATGACCTAAAAAAGTGGATTAATATAACAATTTCTTTAGGAGGACGAATTTCAATCATAAAGATGAATGTTCTACCAAGAGTCAATTTCTTAGCTAGTATGTTACCTTTATCTCCACCAGACTAGCTAAGAAATTGACTCTTGGTAGAACATTCATCTTTATGATTGAAATTCGTCCTCCTAAAGAAATTGTTATANTTAAAGGGGCCTGGCTCGCCCTATCATGCTTTTTGGGGTTTTTCCTCAGACAGAGGATGAAAAGAAAGACTTTTTTTTTATTTTTAACATTTTTAAATCATTTACATCTTCATCCAGACATTTCAAACCGACAACCTAGCTCGACAAGAGATCCTTAAAACATTGTCCTACAGTGACATCATGCAAAAAAGGCGAGTACGTATATTATTCTGGATTGTACTTTTAAATCATCACAAAATAAATGATGTGCTGAACTGAAACACGTCAAAATGTGTCTGAAGGTTTAAACATAG